CGAGTCTCAGGGCGGCGGCCTGCGGCGGCGAGCTAGCGGCCAACACGTTCCCCATGGTCGCCTGCAGGGGAAAGGTCAAAGGGCAGAGGTCAAGGCCCGCAGTCTCCAGGCCCAGTCCCCAGCCAACACCCCCCTGCTCGGAGCCTCGGTTCTCACCGCGGCAGCGCCTCCTCCGGGTCTGGGCTTCGCTCCCACCCCGTGCGCCACGCGCAACCGAACCCGATGCCGCCGCCGCTGCCACCGTCGCCCCGCCCCACCTAGCCCATTGGTTTAGCGTGCCTTGGGGTCCGCCCACCAGCTTCAGAGCCTGGCCTTACTATTGGAGTCATGGATGAGAGTCCCACCCATCTCTTTGGAACGTCCTTTTCTGTTGGTTTCCACTCTCAGGTCAAAGCACACCTCCCCGCCCTTCCCATTGGCTCGGGGCGCCCACCCCGATTGGCTTGCGATGCCGCGGGTTCCTGTGCTCACTCGCCATTGGTCTGTGCTGCGCACTTTGCAACGCCCATTGACTTATCGCCTCTGCCCCATTCCAGAAGGCGTTCCCCTTTTCGACTCCGCCCCGCGGCGAAACTGCCATGATAATTGGTCGGCCTTGGCCCTTGCAGCATCCTGATTGGCTCCAACAGGTACAGGGGCCCGACCCTGGTGGCGTAATCAACCTCGTGTGTTCATTGGCTAATGTGCCAGGGTCAAGGGATACAGGTAAAGGTGGGTTGAGCGGCAGAGGCTGCTAGGCAGCAAGGTCAGGCCTCGCATCCCACCAGGCACCGCGGTAAAGGGGCGGCCCTGTAGTCCGCAGTCGCGGACCGAAAGCCGGAAGTACTAGCTTCTCCCACAGTGCCCCGGGAGAATTCTAACCCATTAGGTGAACCCTGTCCGGCTTCTTGTTACCCACAATGCCCCTTACCTATTTAACGGGACAGTTGCCGTAGACCCACCCCTTTCATTACCCATCATGCCCTCTGTGTCTCTCCCTCCGCCCCAACCCTAGTCATGGCGGCTTCTATCTTTGGCCCATTCATTCCTGTCCCATTACCCAGTATGCCTTCCGTCCCATTCATTTCAGTTTGGTTGCTTGAACCCCCGTTAGCTCATTTCTGTCAGTTCACTTCCATCGTTCTTCCAGCCCTTCCTTAACTAACCATCAAGTTTTGGGTCCACTACCCATTATACCTGGGACCCCTATTTCTCCATTATTCATCCCCCCGGCTCATTCATTCGGATCTATTACCCATCATACCCTGAGCCCCTATTACAACATTATACATAATTTTGCCTTTGGCCAATTCTCAATTGCCAGTTATTCATTAAACCTGGGCCCTTCATAATTAATTACTGTTATTTCTATCTCTGTTCTGTTTATTTCTGTCCATGACCCATTAGACTGCTGTTGCACGGATTCCCTTTCATTAACCACCATGCCCTGGACTCCTCCCCCTCTCCTTCCATTACCCATCGCTGTTTTTGGCTTATGCATTTTTGCTCATTATCCCCTGAATTATTTTGTTTTTATATATTTGGCCCTTTTCTTTTTGTCTGTAACCCATCTTGATTTCTAGTCCACTGATTCTCTTAAGCCCTGGACCCCCCCCCCCAATTCATTACACATCATATCTCACCCCTATCCCCTTGACAGCCCACAGAAAACACGAGTTGAGACCTGACAAAAGTACAAACTTATATTTTTAAGGAAACGCTATATTACAGAAACAATACCACATTCCCTACCCGCAACCCAGATGATCCACTTTCCCCCTACTCCCCAAGGGAGATGTTTGGGTCCAATCCCACTGGGGCAGGAGTAAAAGGACTCAGTAGTCTTCAAAGTAACAGCAGGTTCTTCTCCCAAGACTGGGGTCAACAAGGCACACTCTGCATGAGGCTCACCCCATCTAGCCCTGAGCTGGGGCTTAATTCCCTGTAGACAGGAATTAGGGTAGTTGGGGCTCAGGGATGGGTCTGTACCCTGAGTCTCCTGCTGGCAGGAGGGAGGAAATGGGGAAGTTCCGTCTTGAGCTGGGGAATCCTCTTCCTCCCACTTTTGGGGGACAGGGTGGGGACTGGGCAAGTGAGGCTCTGCTGCCTGGAGGGCTCAGGTCTGGGCAGCAGTATGCCCCCAATGCCCACCCCACAGCAGAGCTATTGGGAGTTACTGCCTGAGGACAAATCAGAGGTCTGGGGTCTTCTTTGGGATTTGGGGGTAGTCTGGAGATGGTGGTGCATGAGAGGTATGATTTATGGTCAGCCTGAGGAGTCCTTGGGTGAGAGGCTGTGCAGAAACATACCTCCCCCGGCCCCTCATGGGATAAGGTTATCGGGTTTCCATTGTCATGACCCATTTCTCTGAATCAGAGATCAGGAATTAGAGGTCATAGTGGATCCACCAAGGTAGAAATCACAGATGAGATGCATGTGTGTTAACTGACTGGCCTGGCCAGAGGTCAGGGGGCCCTAGATCCCTGGCAGAAAGCTGAGGGATCAAAAAATGAGAAGTAAGAGGACAGAGTCTTGGCGGCTTACACATACATGGCCCGGGACATGACAAAGCCTTTGCCCTGGTAGGAGTCAGAGGGGCTGGAGTAGGACAGGGCGTCGTAGATGGGGTTGATCTTGTCCAGATAGTCTTCTTCCTCCTCCTCCTCCTCTAGATCCAGGGAAACCCTCTCAACAGCAGGTGGCCCTGGAGGTACCAGGATGGGGGATCCCAGGCTTGTGGCCCCCAGGAGCAGGGGCCCTGACCGTTCTTCCAAGGTGGGCAGCTCATGGTATCGAGGCATTTCCTGGGGGTGAAGAAGGAATGAGCCCAAGGTCACCTCTTGAGTGTAACACAGAATCTAAATCTGCTCCTTGACCCCCAAATCCTGCCCACGCTCTCCCCATACCAACCAGACCTGACCACACCCCATATCACCCCTTGTCACCTGGATAGATATTGCACTGGGACAATCATATAGCTCGTCCCTAACTCGAAGCCCAGAGCATGGACTGTCAATCCTAAGCCTCTCCTTTTTTATTATTTAATTCTTATGTTCACTTTATTCCTTGGTTGCTTGATTTAAATTTCTAAGTAATTTGTCTCTTGAAAAGTATGTGGATTGAATATTTTCTAAGTTTTTACTCACAGTGTATCACTACAGCTAAGATCTCAGTTTCCCTGAACAAGTAGGTATAAATTCAACTCCTAATACCATCTATTTCTGTGTGACTCTAAGTAAAATTTAACAATTCTGTGCTGCGTCCTTCGCAGCTTGGGACCATGTCTGAGGATGGGCGATGCAAGACTTATGAAACAGAGACAAAGTAAAGAGCAAAGATGGGACCAAGGGACTCAAGATCTTGTGGTTCTAGAGTAAGCCTCTCCTTTTCTTTTGATCACTGACCCCAAGTCTTTCCCCATGAACCTTTGACTTTAATCTTGACCTAAGCTTAGCTCTAAATAGCCCCTTGAAACTTGACCTATCTCAAACTCAACATCCAACCTCTGACCTCCAGGAGACCGCTGAGGAGAGACACTACTTGTCTTGTTCCAGTTCCCGGCACAGTGTCCAGCAAATGGAGATACTCAACCAATTTTCTTTGATGGAGTGACTTCAAATGCTAACCTCATGTCCTTGAACTTTTACAGCTATGACCTCAAGAATGAATCCTAAATGCATCTCAGTGCTCTAAGCTCTAATCAGAGATACAGTCCTGAACTTGAGTTGGACATTTACTCCTTGACCTCTTATGTCAAGAGTCCCTTAAACCCAGACCCCGAATCTTACTCTTGTTGTCTCCCGGGCTCCTACCTGCTCGGTGCATGATACGCCAGCATCAAAGTAGGGGGTCTTGAGTGGGCTGTGCTCCGAGGCCCCCAAGGTAAAGAGCTGGGAGGGCTGTGGTGGGAAAGATGGGGTAGGTCAGGACCCCACCCCCAGACAGCCTCTCCCCATCAGCCCCCCTCCCAGGTCTGGCCTCAGTGGGGAAAGGTAGTGAGGGGGTGGGTGCAGCCTGAGCTCCAGGGAAGTGCTCACCATCTCTGGCTCCTCCAGCTTTGCCTTTGGGGTCGGTGGCTTGTATGAGGGAGGCCCCTCCAGGCTGTGGGGTAGAAGGTAAGTCAGGTAGAGGCTAAGCCCTGAGCAACCTACCCCAGGGTCACTACCCATGTTCCTCCTTCTGCCTGATCTCCCTTTCCACCACCCACCTCCCTTGCCCAGCTAACTACTGCACATCCCATGGCTTTCTTTTCTTCCAGGAAGCCTTCCTGACTCTCTAAGAGAATCAGGAACTCCTCTTACATGATAATATCCATCTATACGTCCCTCATGGGGCACTAACTGAGTTTGTATTTGAAATGTTGTTTCTGATATCATTCAATGACTGTGAGCCATGTGAGGGGGGAAAAATGAGATCTGTGTTGTCAACACGGTGTTCCCAGAACCCATTATGAGGAATTCAGGGAATATTTGTTAAAAGAGAGAATGGATAAATGAATGAAATGCTTTCCTGTCCCCTAAACCAGGTTAAATTCACTCATTCTACATACCCACAGACCAGAGCATCCTCTCTCTGTGTGTGTATGTGTGTGTGTGTGTGTATATATATATATATATATATATATATATATATA